GTAGTCTATCTCCATGAGTTCTCTTTTTCTCTTTTTGCTCCACTCCTCCACCCTCCAATCTCCTTCCCCCTCCACCAGAGGTGCCTGCCTGCTCTCTGCCTATGGGTCTGTCCCTATTTTGCTTGGCAGTTCAGTTTGTTCATTAAATTCCACATATGAGTGAAGTCATATGATACTTGTCTTTCTCTGACTGGCTTATTTCACTTAGCATAATGTTCTCAAGGTCCATCCATGCTGTCGCAAAGAGTAAAATTTTCTTCCTTTTTATGGCAGAGTAACATTCCATTGTCTAAATGCACCATAGCTTTTTTATCCACTTATCTACTGATGGGCACTTGGGCTGCTTCCAAATCTTGGCTATTGTAAATAACACTATAATGAACATAGGGGTGCAGATATCCTTTCGAATTAGTGTTTTGGGTTTCTTTGGATAAATTACCAGAAGTGGAATTGCTAGGTCAAAGGCAGTTCCATTTTTAGTTTTTTTATGGAGGTAACTCCATACTGCTTTCCACAGTGACTGCCATATACTTTTAAGAGACACTTTTAAGTCTCTTAAATGGAAATGTTTTGAAATTGCATATCTTGGAACAAATACTTCAAATCCATTGAAGGCTTGCTCAGTGATGTGCTATGGTAGGCACTGTGCACCACCTATTTTGTCTTCTTCTGGGCACCTGGTAGAACTGCACTTCTCTCTTCAAGCTGGGAGCACAGCTAAGTGACTTGGTTTGGTTAGTGAAATTACACTAGAGGCCTTCAGGAGCTTAAATACAAAAGGTCCAAAGTGACTTCCAGATGGTGGAAACTTGGTTAACCTTCCACTTGGGGACTCTGGTTCTTGGTGCCCTTGTATGAGGACACCAAGAACCAGAGTTCCCAAGTAATATGAGAGAGTCATGTAGTGTGAGGAAGAAATAACTATGCTGTAATACAAGGACTCAGCACTAGCAAAACTAGCTCCATCCTGACCTCTAACACCACTTTTCAAAGAAGTCATGAATTAAATGCATTCTAGTTCTTATAGCATGAAGGTAGACCTCTACCTCACACCATATACAAAAATTAACTAAAAATGGATCAACAACTTAAAAATATAACAGTTAAAACCATAAAACTCATAGAAGAAAACACAGGAGTAAATCATGAATGGTTGATTTCTTGTCCATTAATATTTATAAATAAAATTGGCAACTGGTGACAGTACCATCAGTATTTGGGTAGGTCACTCTTTCACGTCCCCAGGAGAAGCAGCTGGCAGATCTATTCACTGATTTTGCTTCCAGGTTGAGATTTTTTACCCCTGCAAGTCTCTTGTGGCCTTTTCTTTTATAATAAAGGACCTGAGGCCCAAAGAGGTCAAGCACATAGAACCTGGGTCTGTTACCTGCTCATACTAAATTTTGCTGCCAAAAAATTTGAGGACTGCCGCCCTCAAATGCTTCCCTCCCTTGATGAGCCACCAGGTTAGGAGGAAGACCTGGTGATTGCTGCTTCCAGCCTATATTCCTTCTCCACCTCTTACGATGACTCCAGCTATGGTGGAGAGATTGGGGGAAACTGGGGTAGGCTCCACCTCAGCTTCTTCCATCCTGCACGCTCATATCCTGTCATGCATGACCTAAAACTTCTCCATGATGAATTCTCTCTTGAAAATCACATAATACCATCCCCCAGATGCTTAGTCAAGCATGCCCAGTGCAATTCTTCAGTATCAATGGGCCCTTTGGCCCCTCTCTGTTCCCCGTGCTCATTTACTCCTCCTCTCTTGCTTTGCCTCCAAACTAGCTCTGATTCCATGTCATCATTTTAATCACTCCTGCCAAAATCCAAAATCTAAATATATATATTATCAAAGTCTGAAAACTGAAAAATCTAATTTAAAAAATCTAACTATGCACTCAAAATAACATGTATACCAATATGCTAACCACTATCAATAAAAGGTATATCCATTTACTTCTAGAAACAGCAAAGACAAGCAAATTTTTATAACGCTCTCTACTCCTTGTAGGTATTTTATATAGATTGATAAAACTTTCCCAGGAAAACACTCCATATATATGAATCCAATAAGATACACTTGCAGATATTTAGGAAAGTCCAACATAGAGAAGGGAATGAAAAATGGGTCAATTCACAAAGGAAAAAAGATATCATACATTATCTAAAATTAATAAGAACCAGAATTCAGGTAAAAGATTCAAATGAGGTTAAGTGATAACCAGAAACGGCCACACAGAGCAAACCCATTTTAAACAGAGACCAAATTTCTTAATAAAGCATGGGAATAAAAAGTTTGATTGGAATATTCTCTTGAAAAAAATTGCAGATAGTTTTTAAAAGTCTCATATGCCATAAAATTTAGGTTATAATGACAACTATGTGCTTATTCTTAGAACATAAAGAGAGCGAATCAAATGTTTTTGTGGAGAAACTTTTGCCAACAAATTGGATGACAGCCCATTTCAAAACAGTTGATTTTCACGGTGTGATCATATAAAAGGTTCTTTGTTTTTTCAAAACACTCAAAGGCTACATCAAGCTTCCCAAAAGCCTATCTTAGTATTTTAATCTTCAAATCATTCTTTTTTAAAAGTCATTCTTGTTGGTCTTTCTCTTCTCTGCTTTTTAATTTTAAGGTCCATTTGGTGTTGTAACATCCAAAAATCATCTAGGAAGCTTCACACACAAAAAGAAGGCCCAGGCCCGGACAGATGCACAGGTTAAGTGGACAGGGGCTTTTGAATGGGGACAGTTTTATAAGCAGTACTTCTGTGAATATTTTTGCTTTCCTACACAGCTCCTCCTATAACCACATAACTGCAGGGACTTGAATAATAAGTTCTCAGCTAATGAGAACCTTCTGTACGTCTATTTACAGTACTGTTTATGTAGTAAGAGATGATATGCATCTTAGTTGGAAAATCTTAAGATACAACTTGGTCAGGACCACATTATAAATGGTTTTTTAAAAAATGAAATAGGATACCATACCAATGTTGTAAGGGAGTTCCTTTTCATATAGAGTCTCTCCAAGTACTGTAGTCCTTCACCCTTCAGTAACTCCAATGGGAAATGGTGCAGATTCCGATAATTTAAGAACAAATTCTTGTGCTTTTCCAGCCTTGCCACAGAGATCGTCTTGCAAAGTTCAGATGCCATGACTGGACAGATCCCATCAGGCACAGTGCAGCGCTACATCTTGTCAAAATTGGTTCATTTCTAAAAAGAAAAAAGAAAACTGAACAATTATAAGACTGCTTACAAGCATTGCCAAATAAGCCAGTTAGCCAATAGAGCTATTTGCAGACACTGAAAAGAGAGTAATACATTTAATCCCCATGCTCTTCTTTCATAACAACTAATTTTGTCATACGTATTTAGGAAGAGAGTAAATGAATAACTATTTAATAAAAACACACGCACTGTTTCGGCAATATTTACTACTTGGTAGAAATAGTCCTAACTGAAAAATGGTCTTGAAATTGGGATCATGGCATCCCTAAGAGAAAAGAGGCCAGTTTCATAACAGGCAACCCAAGAAAGCACTTAAAAGTCAGGTAGAGCAAATTCTCATTTTGTATCTCGCTTAAGTGTTTCAAAACCATTTAAACATGTATATAAAACATATCTAGGTCATTTACAGCTTCATTTTCTTTACTTGTTACTATCTTCGTGTGGTCCTATATACTAATTTCTTCTTTAATCTCTTTCTTGTTTTCTTTCTTTCTTCTTCTCTTTGCAGATTATCAGAAGCTGCCAAGGAATAGGTCTGGGAAACAGTTTTACTTTATTATTTCTTTTTTATTTATTTATTTATTTTTTATATATCTTTATTGATTTCAGAGAGAGGAAAGGAGACGTAGAGAGAGAGAGAGAAACATCAATCATGAGAGAGTCACTGATCAAGCCCGCAACCCGGGCATGTGCCCTGACCGGGAATCGAACCCCGATCGCCTGGATCCTAGGTCGATGCTCAACCGCTGAGCCACACTCGGCAGGGCTATTTTATTATTTCACTGAAAGAAGAAATACTGAGCCGGACCCGTGTGGCTCAGCGGTTGAGCGGCGACCTAGGATCCAGGAGGTCGCGGTTTGATTTCCAGCTCCGGGCACATCCGGGGTGGCGGGCTCCTGACCCCCAGCAGGGGGCGCGCGGGAGGCAGCCCATCCATGACTCTCACCATTGATGTTTCTCTCTCTCCCCCCCTCTCCCTTCCTCTCTCTGAAATCAATAAAGACATATTTAAAATAAAATAAAAAAATAAAATAAAAGCAAATGGCAGACTCAATATTAAAAGCGTACACGACTGCGCCTGCCCACGAGTTTTCTGACTGGTAAACAAACACCAACGCACGTTCTTCTCCTTCTTTTTTTTAAGAAACAAAAGCTTCCATCTTAAGAATGTTTCACACGTTTCGGGCAGGGAAGGAAGGGGTCCCTCGGGCTGCCGTCGGGGCTCCATCCCGAACGCCCGCCATGCGAGGTCTGAACGCGGCGCTCCGGGAGCACTCGTGGGAGGTTATTGCCCCAGAAGCCCCGACAGACAGAAGGTCTTCGGCGACACGCACGCGTCCCGCGCGACTCAACCCCACTCGGAGGTCGTTACAGTGCGGCGGCGGCGGCGAGTCCGGCGACAGGGACTTCACAGACCCGGCGCCCCGACCCTCAGGCGGGAGGAGGGCCCGGCAGCTCTGGGGACCCGAGGC